GCAGGGCGGCGCTGGAGGAGTCTAGCTGTACCGAAAAAAACACACGGTGGCTGGAGGTTTTTTGCAGGCACGGGATCAGCGCAGTGCTACAGGCAGGATTCACCCTTCCCATCCTGGAAGCGCTGCCTGCACTGAGCTGCGACATAGGCCGGGTCAAGCCAGTTGTGAGGAAGGTCTCCCAAAGGAAGTGAGGTAAAAATGCATGAGCTACCTTGTAGTTGTGTCGCAGGAATTACGTAGGGCGGGCCTTTCAGCATGTTGAGCGTTCTTGGTGGAATCGAGTGTCAGGAGGTTTTGTTTGGTGGGCCAAGGCCTAGAAGTTGGTGCAAAGCAATGTCGGGGATTACGGGAGGTGGGACGGGCTCTGCTTGGAAGCGGCTGCTGAAGGGGGGGGCATTAAGAGGCGGCGGGGGCATTCGAGGTGCCGGCACCACAGGCTCATCCCATTGACTGTTGCACCGGAGTGGTGCAAGGGGCTCAATGGTGTCGAACACAGCGGCAGCAGCACATTGGGAAAGTCACTCTAGCTTTGCTCTACTTTCCCAAAGTGCCGCCTCTTTTGTATTCTGTCTGTCTGTCCATCCTTCCAAAAGGTCTGTCTGTCTGTCTGCCTTCCTGCCTACCTACCTACCTGCCTGCCTGCCTTTCTGTCTACCTACCTACCTACCTACCTATCCACCTATCTATCCATCCATCCATCCAAAAGGCCTGCCTGCCTACCAGAGAGAGAGAGAGAGAGAGAGAGAGAGAGAGAGAAACCTGATACATCAGATTGAAATGAGGCCTAGTTTAGACTGAGGCCCTTTTCCACATTGAAACATCTTTGGCTTCTATTAAAGGTTTTGTGGACGAAACATTGAAGCTCTCACATTTTGTTGAGGCTTTAAACAGGATCCATTGGACCAGATCTCCAGCCTAAAAAATTACTTTCCCCCAATGTATTACAATGCCAATTCTGAAGAAGGCAAAACCAAAATATACTGGTAAATTACAAGAACACAGACACACACACTCCCTTCTAACCCTGCTGGAGCAGGTGATTGGACTAGAATAGATATCTCATTATCTTTCTCTTCCCTCCCTCCCTCCTTTATTTCTTTTTCTTTCTGTCCCTTCCTTCCACCCTCCCCTTTCTTTGTCTATCCCTTTATCGTTCTTTCCCTTTTCGCTTTCTTTTCTTCCTTTCTTCCTCTCTCTCTCTCTTTTCTTTCTCTCTCTTTTCTTCTCTCAGGCTCACCCCATTGACTTGGTGCACCACTTCGCTCGGACTTGCTTGGGCAGGTCTCTTCGGTGCAGTGGGCTCAATTGGATGGAACTGCGGGGCCGGTACATAGAACGCGGCAGTGGCAGAACGTTTGAAAAGTAGAGCAAAGACAGAGGGCAGTAATTTTTGCTGCAAAGAATCACAAAAGCTTCTGGGCTGTGCACAAGAAGGGACACACATGTCAGTGCAATTCAGCAGCATAAAATAAAGAAATACAAATAAAACAAATCAACAAGAATTGGCAAAGCATCTCTGATTAGATTCTATTCATTACTAGAATCTAATCAGAGATGCTTCGCTGATTCTAGTTTTTTGCTGATTCTAACCTGCTTCAGCAGGGTTAGAAGGGAGTGTGTGTGTGTGTGTGTGTGCATGCATGGCTGTCAAAACTCCAAAAACAGGTCAAGTAGCTCTGGGGAGGCCAGTCATAAATTAGAACACTTGCTAAACAACTGGCCATTAAGTGAGGACCACTTGTATTTGGTTTGCCAGTTACCTGGCCACGCCCACCCAGTCACATGACCACCAAACCACACCTACCCAGTCATGTGACCAGCAAGCCACGTCCTCAAATTAGGTCACGCCCACATAAATTTGAATCCCACCCCGGGTGGGGGACACTGAGGATGAGTTTGTAGCATCAAGGTGGACTGAAAAAGTTTGGGAACCACTGGTTTATATCATCAATTATTGTCGTTTTTATTTTTATCTCCATATTATCATTTTTTAAAATTTGTTGTTTTGTCTTGTGTTTTTCCGACTGCTCTTTCAGTTAACTCCTCTTTCTGGACACCCTGTTTTCTCTTTGTCATTTGGGTCCTAATTTCCATGTCTACATTCATAGTCTGTATTTTATTCAAGATCTCCTCATATCTTCTTGTCAAAGTATCCTTCATATCCTGAATTTCCAACATGATTTCTTCCCAAATTCCACTCATCTTTGTTTTGTTTCTTTTATTTCTTTTCGTCTAATAATCCAATAATCTAATAATGTTTTATTCAAGCCAAAGTCACTTTTCAAACAAAGAGTTTAATGTCCAATGTCCAGGAGTCTTTGTATCCCCAAGTTAGTCAATCTATTCTTCTAGATAATACAAAAATAAAATCAGTCTATATTGAAACTTTCAAGGTTCTTTTTAATGGTAAAGTTTTCCTTATTCTCCCCTTTGAGTCGTCCAAAGCCAGGCCTTTATCAGAGTTTGGGGAATATATTGTGCCTTCCTTTGACATTCTTGAATCAGTTTTCACTTCATCTTTCTTATTTCTTATTCAATTTTACTCATTTTCTCCAGAATGCAAATATAATATCAATTTTTATATAGGTGGTTCCAGTAATTTACAATGCCTATTCACAGCCACAGTCCAATTAAAAAGTCAAGTTTTCTGTCTTTTTAGCAAATTTTCCTTTTGTTTTAAAAATCTGGAAATTTTACTCACTGTGCTGAGACTCTGCCACTTTAAAGATAGTTCTGAGTTACTCATCAATGTCCTGCATCAATGAATTCATCAATGTCCTGCAGTTGGAGGGCTCTCCCCCTATGAAAGACTGCTAGCCGTTCGTTTGCTTCTCCCTCTAATCCCATGGTGATGGAGTTCACAATGGCTCTATGCGATGAGTAGAGGTGTCTATAACAATTTTGATGGACTCCAGCGGAGTCAAGGAATAGAGCTAGTTGATCTGGGTCCCCATTGAATTTCTCCCTAAATTGAGGCAGCTCGTTCAACACTGCCACTCCCTCATCTTGTTGGGCCCCATCTGTCTGCTCCTGGTGCACTTGGTGGTCTCCATCGGCTCTAGTTTGTGGAGAGGGGGTTCGCCCTGCTTGGGTGGTTTGCTTGTGGCGCAGACGAGCCATTGGTGGCAGCTTGGACTCAGTTTCCTTCTGGTGAGTGGAGAAGGGGGGCTGCATTCTTGTCTGCCTCTCCAATTTTGGGCAGATGGGTACGCGTGGGCTTCCTGGGGGTTGCTCCATGGTTAGGTCCAGCTTAAGCTTAGGGCTGGCTATTTGGAGCTTAGTGGGTTAGATCGGGTTTCTCCTCACTTCAGGGAGTTTGATTGCATCCCCCCCCCCAATCTCTTTCCCCCTTTCTTTTGGGCATCATGACAGCCCCTCATTGCGAAGGGTGGCTCTGTCAAATTTCTCCCTCAATTGTTCCAAGGATTCACCTCTGGTTCCAAGTAGGGATTTTGGAGTTCTGACCTCTTCCCACTTCCTCATCCACTTCAGTCTTTCTAGCTCGCTTATGTGTTGCCCCAACCAACAGGAGCTAGGGTAGGGGAATTTGGCCTCAGCTGCTTTAGGGATTTTTTTTGCACAAATACTCATCCATTTCTGCTTTGGTCGCTGAGGTGGGCATCCTGGACGTCTCGGTTTCCATGGCCAGGGACAGCTGCACTTGGGTTCCGATTGGGCTGCTGGTTCTTGGAATTCCTTGGGTGGGCATAGGACCTGCCTCCTTCTGGGTTGCCAGAAGCAGGCTTTCTTTGGATATTCCGGCCTCTGCCATGGTGGCCTGAGTTTCTCTCTAGGTACCCCAGGTATCGGAGAGCAAGTCTGGGGCTCAGGAGTCCCGGTTGTTTTTGGTTATTTTTTTGGAGAGCTGGCTTGATGTCATGGTTCCGACCAATGCCCTAATAAAAGCAGGAGCCTCAAGCCATTTAACAAGAAAAATCCAGTTGTTTATTAGGAGCGCCATGTCAGCACGAACTAAGTGAAGCCAGCTCTGACTTCACTCAGTTTGCGCCTTGCCTCTGACCCTGTTGCCCCCTCCCCCCAAGGCGTGTCACCAGTCACATTTCCCAACGAAGCAATTTTGCGGATCATAGAAGTCACTCCCTCTGGCCGTTGCATGTCTCCATGGAGATGGCCTTGACTTCGGCCACCTAGGATGTGTTTTATTTTGACTGAGGTGTGAATTCTTCGGTGCAGCTGCGAGCTGCGATTTCCCATCCCCCTGCTTATGGCAACTTGGGCAGGTCAGGAAAGCTTCACAAGTTGACAAACGGACCATTTCCAAATTATGAATAGAAGCCCAAGAGGAGGTGAAAATTAGGAGGTGGAAACTTCTTTCCTATTACAATAATGTTATCACAATATTTAATATTATGCTTGAATATAAACCACCAGTGACAAGATATAAAAAAGTATAGTACTCTCACTTCCTATTTTAAAAATGAACACAATGAAAATGATGATTAGGTAGGAAATATTTGGTCATATTAAAAAGTTAATGTTATTCTAGATTGCACAGGAACAAAACATTGACAAGTGCTGAAAGTCTAGTAGACACTTAGCAGTAATGCCCAAGAGCATTATTTTAGATATGTCAACTCAGATATTGGAAAGACCTGATGATATGCTTTGGTTGAAATTTTAATTAATATAGAAAAAAATCCTGCAATGGCCTTTATCAGTATAGCATTACCTTCAGAAATTAGAATGCTTGAGAATTAGGATGCATAATGTTCTCTGCCTTGAGTTATTAGAAATAATGAAGACAGGGTAGAAATAACTAAATAATACCGAGGAGTATCGAACAGACCAAAGGGCAGCTGAGATTCATTGAAATTGGCCCCCTATCAATTTGACAGGGAGGAAAACTAATAATTTCCTAAAAGAATATGAACTGCTGGCAATCTTTTTTATTGTAGAGATTTTAAAATACATTACATAAAAATTAAGCATTTGTATATTTCATATCTTTAAATTATCATTGCATATCATTGCTTCTGCAGCCAAGCTTTTTGATGATGAGAAAACTCAAATCCTTAAGCACCACAGACGTAAGGAATTGGAAGAACGCCAGAAGTTGTATAGGTGAGTTTTCATAAAATCAGCAACTATTTCAGGGATTGAATACAATTCATAGTCTTGTGTGAGGGTCCAGGAATTTCCTCCACCATTAAATAAAATCTTAAAATCGTACAAGAATCATCTGGTCTTGTGGAATTCCAACCTCTCCAAATGCCCTATGTAAGGCCCAAACTCTCTCCCCTTCAGATGATAAGAATGAACTTTTGAAAACTGGGTATTTCAAAAGGAATTCTTTATTGAAAAGGAAGGTATCCAGGTGATGTTCAAAGCAGGGACTAATATGCCTCCAGGCATGCATCTTAGATAAAAGGAGTTAGAAGCCCTTCCCTTAGTCCGATGTGGATTTTGTCAATACAAAGAAGCAACATGTTAATCCCCCCGCTTTTTTTTATTCTGGGAACATAGTTGAGAAGAGCTTGCCAGGAAGTTTCTTTCTGAGTTGGAATTTTTATCACTCCTTCTCCTCTTGCTATCTCTTCAAGAGGTAACAAAGTTTCTAGGAATCTGGGCTCCAGTCCCCAGTTGTATATTATGTGCAAGTTCTATAGATTCAATACAAGAATTAAGATACTCAGGTTACATAAAAAAGGATTACTTGTATTGAACCCCCCCCCCCCCTTCTTCCATGGATCTGAAATATTGCCCTCCTCAAAAAATTGAGATATCCACCTGGAAGACATAAAACATGTGTTACATTTACAACTTAGGATGTTTGGTGAGGGTATTTCAGGTGGAATTTCCATAGTAATGTGGGGGTTTTTTACATGTTGTTTGGCTACCCACTCATTTTGTGAGGAGAGGGAAGGTGTTTCTAAGCTACTAAATATTGTGTGGATCCACGGTGAGTGCGTGAATCAAGGATATCTTTAATTTCAAAATGTTGTTCCCTGTGTACCATAATGGGAGTTGGAGGTGTGGGAAGGTGGGGGGGGGGGTCTAAGTTTTGAAGTGATCTCTGGTTTGAGTAGGCTACAGTGAAATACTGGTTGAACCTGTCTGAGTGTCTTGGAGAGTAGGAGCTCTATAGTAACAGGGTTGATGATTCTGGAGATGGAAAATGGACCAATGAATTTAGGTCCCAGTTTCTTAGAGGGTTGCAATGATTTTAGGAACTTTGTAGATAAATATACGCGGTCCTCAACTTTGAACGGTGTTTTTTGTCCGCTTGAGCTTTAAAAGCTGCTCTAGCCTCTTGTAAGGCTAGTCTGACCACTGGCCAAGTGGTTTGCAAATTATTTATCCATTCCTTAAGGGAGGGAATTTCAGTTTCCTTGGTAGGTAGCTCTGGAGTTGAATACTTGTCCTGTGGCTACCTGGAATGGGGTGAAACCAGTGCTACTGTGGGTCGGGTTATTGTATGCTACCTCTGCAAAAGATAGAAAGTCAGTCCAATTGTCCTGTTTGTAATTAATAAAGCATCTTAAATATTGTTCTAATATGCCATTAGCTCTCTCTATCGAGCCATTACTTTGGGGATGATTTGAAGAGGACAACCTCTGGGTGGAGGTTTAAAAACGCCCACCAAAATGTGGGCTGTGAATTGCACACTCCATCTGAGATAATCCATTGGGGAGTTCTATGGAGGCGATAAATGTGTATTAAAAACATCTTGCCAATGCCTTGGCTGTTGGGATCTTTTGATAGGGTACAAAATGAACCTGTTCTGAAAAAAGGTCCATTACAACTCAAATAACAGTGTTTCCTGCACTTTCAGGGAGCTCCACTATAAAGTCCATAGAAATCTCTCTTCAGGGTGCTGAAGGTTCTGCCACTGTTTGTAAAAGTTCACAGGATTTTCCTTGTCCTCTTTTTTGCAGCAGCGCATATGGGGCAACTAGCAATATAGCTTTCAGTATCTTTTTTGAGTGATGGCCCCCAGAATTGTCTTTTGATGAGATGCAGGGTTTTTACAAATCCAAAGTGTCCAGCTATTTTTGAGTTGTGGCATCGTTTCATGAGGTCCATTCTCTGGCTGGCAGGGATGTAAAGTTTGTTTTCTACCCAGGCTAGACCATCTTTGAGTAAGTAAATGTTTTTGTTAGCCTGGAACCAGTTGTCCTTAAGTAGTGGCTCCTTAAATTTGGAAGTCATTGCATTGTCAGTTAGTGGTTCTTTCTTTCCTTGTGCTCGGGTAATTACTTTGGCTGCAAGTTGGGTTAGTTGGATCATAGGTTTTACAATTTCAATTTTTTTGCTGTTGTATTGGGTTTCCTGGACAGGGCATCTTCCAAGAAATTTTTTCCCCTTGGGAGATATTTCAGAGTGAAATTAAAACATTTAAAATATTGGGCCCAACATACTTGGGGAGAGTTTCCATGGAGTTTTCAGGGCTTCTAGATTTTTATGATCAATCCAGACTTCGAAGGGGTTTTGTTCCTTTCTAGGAACTGTCTCCATGTGAGGAGTGCCCATCGCACAGTATATGCCTCTTTCTCCCATATGGCCCATTTTTGCTCGGTTTCTATCAGTTTCTTGGAAGTATAAGCACATGGTTGCAACTGTCCACGGTCATTCTTTTGGAGTAGAATTGCTCCTACTGCTACATTGCTAGCGTCCCCTTGGATGACAAATGGTTGTTCAGGTTCTGGGTGTTTCAGGATTGGTTCTGCTAAGAATAGTTGTTTTAAATTTTTCGAATAACACTTGGCATTCCATCGTCCAGATAAGGGGTTGCCTTGGCTTTGGTTCCCTCCCTTTCATTTTTAACAAGCTCGTGATGGGGAGGGCGATATTTGCAAAAGCTGGAATGAACTGACAGTAAAACCCAGGAAGCTTTTTGCAGTTGTTTGTGAGTATGGGGCAGCTACCAATCAATGAGAGCTTTTACTTTTTGTCAGTCCATCTCTATTCCCTCATGGGATATTCTATATCCCAAGTAGTTGATTTTTTTCTTGATTGAACTCACATTTAGAGAATTTTTCATATAGTTTGGTGTTTTGGAATTTTGTGAGAACTGCTTGGAGTAACTTTATGTGCTCTTCTTTTGTTTCAGTGTAGATTAAAATGTCATCGAGATAAACTAGAACCCCTTTGTACAAAAAATCATGGAGAACCTTATTAATTAGTTGCATAAATACGGCAGGGGCTCCTTGTAGTCCGAAAGGGAGTACTTTAAACTGGTAGCATCCCAGTGGGATGTTGAAAGCAGTCTTCCAATCATCCCTGTCCCTTATTCTGATGCGGTAGTATGCCTCTCATAGATCTAATTTTGAAAAAAAAATCCTTTAGAGAGGTGAGCTAGCACATGAGGGGGAGTGGGTACCTATTTTCCATGCTGATGGTGTTCAGGTTACGGAAATCTATGCAAAGGTGAAGGGAGCCACCTTTCTTTTTGCTGAATAATACAGGGGCTGCTATTTTCGGTCAGGTAGGTTCGATGAAACCCTGTTTTAGATTTTTATCGATAAATGTTCTGAGTTCATTTAGTTCTCGGGGGGACATGCAGTACATTTTTGGTTTTGGAAGTTTAGCCCCTGGCAGTATTTCAGTGGCACAGTCTGTGGCACCATGAGGTGGGAATTCATCAGAAGCCTTCTCGCTAAATACTTGGGCCAAATCCTGGTACTCTTTGGGGATGTTAATGGGTTCATCCGGCTGGCTGGCCATGGCTGGTTCTCTGTTCTGTTTTCTTTCCTTTCCCCCCCTGGGATGTTTGCAAATGCTACATGTTTCTGGAAATGTACAGTTCCTCTATTCCGGTTTATTTTTGGATTCCATTTCCATAGCCTTGTGAGTCCTAGGACTAGTCGCCCTTCCATTCCTGGGGCTACAATGAACATGAGCATCTCGCTATGGTTCCCCAGTTCTATTTGCAATGGTTCTGTGGCAAAGCTGGCTGGCTCCCCCACCCCCAGCTATAGTCCCATCTAATTGGTAGAAAGCGATGGGGTTTTCCATTTTCCTTAAGTCGATTCCCAATTTCTCTACTAGAGTGGGGTTGATTAGGCACTGGGTGCATCCCGAATCCAGTAATGCTGCTACTTCCTCCCACTTTTCTTGGCTGGGGATAAACAGTCTTAGAGGTAGAGTGAGTGGTTCAATTGGGCCGCTCACCAACGGGTCATCTTCCGGATTGCTTTCAGACTGGCTCAAGTCTCCTTGGGGCATTGGGGATTCTTCCTCTGAATTTGAGGGGAGACTGAAACTTCACAGTTTCTTGGCTTCTCAGGGCGGTTTCTTTTCCTTGGTGTTGGATTTTCCAGGTTTTCCCTCTGATGGGTGGTCTGGCTTTCTGGCAGGGTTTTTGGAATGGCACTCCACTGAGCGGTGCCCCTCCTTTCTACACTTAAAACAGCCAGATGGTCTTTGTAATCATGGTGGTTTGGGATTTGGAAAACTCCCACTTCCTCTGGAGTGGGGATCTTCTCCAAACCCTGCTGCTGCAGTACTGGTTATGGCCATGTCTATCTCCGCCTCCTCTGCCATCAGGTACCATTCATGCAAAAGGTTAGGGGCCCCACGGGCCAGGCAGGCAGTATACAGGTTGTCGTTGAGTCCATCTTTGAACCACCAGACTAGAATATCTTCTGGCCAGTCAACTCGGCCGGCCAGGTCGCAAAATTCCTCAGTGTATTTGGCTACAGGGTGACAGCTTTGCTTTACGACCCTAATGCGGTTGCGGGCTTTTCGATCCATGAGGGGGTCTTCAAAGCGGTGGCATAGGGCTGTCATGAATCAATTGAGGTTCCACAGCTCTGGGCCATCAACGTTGTGGAGGGTAATCCATCTGGCAGCTGTCCCTTTTAGGGCTAGGGTGATGACTCGCACTTGGCCCCCCTGGGTCGCGAAGTTCCGCCCGTATTCTTGCATATAGATGAGGACTTGTGCCAGGAAGAATCCCAATTTCTGGGGGTCCCCATCGAATTTCACCCCCAAGGGTGGGATCTTTCTCTGCAGTTGTAGGTCTCTGGGTTGGCTGGGGTTAATCCCCTGCTCTGGAATGGCAAGGGGTCAGGTGACACCCTGTTTTGTTATATTTTCAATAGTACATTGAAGAAAGAAAT